CACCTGGAAAGAGGGGTGGGGCTCCCAGGGGGCGGGGAGCGGGGTGGCCCAGGGGCAGGGAGCTGGGTGCCCCAGGGGCTGGGAGCTGGGTGCCCCAAGAACAAGGAGCTGGGTGCCCCAGGGGACAGGGAGCTGGGTGCCCCAAGAACAAGGAGCTGTCATCTGGGTCCAGCAGCTACACAGCACAAGGTTTGACTCAGTTCAAGTGGCTAAAGACACCGTGCCCCCAAAATGCTTATTTGTTTCACCCAAAGGGCTTCAGCTCCTTTTGAAAACCTCAGCCCAGGCATCCCAGAGCCATGTGCAAACTGGTATGGTGGGGTAACATCCTGCACACTGCCCCTGTGCTTCTGAAGTGCTGGGTGGAGCTGGCTCCCAGCATGAGCTTGGGGAGGCTGCTCAGGATTCCCAGAACATGATGCCTGAGCAAGGAAATCCACTCCTTCTCCCTTGGCACACCCTGGGCTTTGCCAGTGCCACTCCACAGCATCTCCACCAGTCCCAGTTCACCCTGAGCTGCCCAGCAGGGGGGCCCTGCTGGAGATGCTCCTTGAATTGCTGCTTTCTCCTGCATCTGGCCCTGAGGCATCCGGCACTGAACATCTCCCTGGTGTCCAGGGCAGTCTGCACAGACAGCAGAACTCTCCCTTGTGTCCTCCTGGCTCCCATTGCTGGAGGTTCCTGGGGCAGGTGATGGCACAGGGTGGGACACCTGCCCAGGGACACAGACACTCCACAAAAGCATTTGAAACCCAAGTGCATCGTTAGTCAATTCCCCAGGGTTTTGACCCATCCAATTTTGACCATGTTGGATATTTCCCTGGTTTCCCAGGGAAACTATTTCCTTTTTTTTTTTTCACTAGACATCACCCTTGGGGGTGCTTCCTTTTTTTTTTTCCCCCTGATTTCATCCAATTACTTACTCTGTGCTCTTCTGAAGCACCATAAATAATTCTCCTCCCTCCGCTGTGTTTACCCGCGTCTCTCGTGCAATCCAGGAAGATATGATTGATTGCAATCATTATTTCCTACTGCTGCTCTGAAAACCACTGTCAGGTTCAGTGATTGCCTTTAAAGAGTGGCTGCCACTCAGGAGAACTGTCAAACCCTTGTCATACTTTAGCAAACCCCAATTAATCCGTTGAGCAGTTTGACTTGTGTTTGTTTTCTCATCATCGCTGATTATCAGGAGTCATTAGAATATTTCTCCTTTGTTATTAGCATCTTGTCTGTTTTGTTGTGGGTTGTTTGGGTTTTTTTTTAAATAAGTGCCTTGCAGGACTGTTTTCTTGGGGTTTCATGCTATTGAGTTGGGGTTTAGTTTGGTTTGCCTGTGGTGGTGGCTTGTGAGGGTCTTCGTTGCTGGTTTAAGAGGAGAACTTGGACTCCCCTCCATCCCCCCATCTCTGGCACAGGTTGTTGGGCAGCCCAGCAGCTGGTGGAGGGGGGTGGGGGGGTGTTTGGGTCCTTGTTTCATATTAACAAATTAATCCTGGCTCTTGCATTTTGGAAAGAGTTGCTTCAGCACTTTTCCTCCTTTCCCTTGGTTTTAATGAGACACACTTTCCAAGAGATGTAATCATGGTTGCCAAAAATGTCAAATTGTTCTTGTTATCCTCCTTAAGCTTCTGGAACAACAACAACAACAACAAACCAGGAACAGAAGAAGAGAGGTGTTGATGAGGAAGGGCTTTGACTTCATCTCCCAGAGCTGGGGGAGATGTGCCCTGTGACAGCTCAGTTTTCTGGCAGGGAGCCTGCAGAGATAACCCAGTGAAGGCTGAGAGATTTCTTTTTTTAATTACTATTTTTATTTAGGATTTGGGATGGAGTTGTTTTTTTATTCCTTTAAGGGAATCTGCTCACTGTTGACAGCAAATCTCAGAGGTTTGCTGTTGAAAAGCATCCTGGAGTTGCTTGAAAGCAGCTGGGAAATTGGATGATGGAAGGGAAATCTCTGGGAAGGCAATGGGAGAGCTGGGCTGGCACTGGGAGCTCAGCTATGGGGACAGGGCTCCTGGCTTCTCTGGGATCCAGGGGGAAAGGGTTTCATTCCCCAGTGGGAATATCCCAGTCCCTCCATAGTGATTTGGCAGCAGAGCTGTCTTGTTGGGGTCTGCTTCTGTGGCAGGGACTCAGGGAAATGTCCTCACCTGGGGTGTGGGTGTAGCTTGAGCAGGAGGAAATCTCCATCCTTTGCTCCTGATTGAGGACGGGGGGGGATCCCTGGGGAGCTTTGCCTGAGTGATGGGGACAAGGACCTGAACAGCCCTGGGTGCCCTGCCTGGACATCAGCTCACTGCTGCCTGGGGAAGTGAGCCCTGGGTGGCTCTGTGCCTCAGTTTCCCTTATCCCCCTGTCCTGTAGTGGGGCTGGAGAGGCTTCCAGGACCTATCCCAGGCACCTCAGAAGGAGCCTCTGTATATACATACACACTCTGTATGTGTGTGTAGGTTTTATTCAGGGGCCAGAGCTGTTTCTCTGCCTGGACTTTGTGAGCAGCCATTTAAATTTCAAATGAGCTTCACCACTCAACAGCCCTTCATAAAGAAATGTGGTGATTATGGTTTAATTCCTTCTGGTCAGCTGCAGTGACTGTATCAGGTTCTTTTTCTGTCCTCCAGACTCACCAGCCAGCACAGGAGCATGTGAGAAGGATGCACAGTCCACACCTCACTCCAAAGCTGAGCTCAAGATCCAAGTTCTGCCCCTCTGACAGTTCTGGGGTGTCTTTGCAGGAGCAACTCTGGAGCAGAAATCCCTGTCTGGGGGGCAGTTGGTCCTGGAAGGCACCCAGGGCAGGGGTTTGGAGGGTGTGGGGTCTGTGAGCCATGAACACAGCCCAGCTGTGGTGGAGATGTCACTGGAGTGGGCTGAGTCCCAGCAGTGAAAGCCTGTGGGGAAATAACTCATGTGGGTTTTCTGACTTGAGCACATTTCAGAGCTTTTCTGGTTTCCTCAGCTGTGTCTGTGCCCAGTTTGCTCAGCTGTGTCTGGGGAGTCCTCTCTACAAACTGAGCTCCAAGGTCCAAGTTTTCACTTCCCAGCATCTTGTAACTCTGAGTTCCTTAGCACTTCTGCCCTTCCATGGGACAAGCTGCGCCTTGTGTTCCACCCAGGAGACTGGGAGATCTTCCTGGTGGGAAAGGCAAAGGTGCCTCCTGCAATCCCAGACCCCTCCAGGGATGGCTGGGGCTGCACAAGACCTCAGGCACCCACAGATTCAAGAAGTCACTGACTTCTTGCCATGGGAGTGCTGGCAACATCTGGGAAGAGCCAGCTTTCAATCCCCAGGAATGGTTGGCTTTTCATCCATAAATGCAGGGAACCCAAGGGAGGCACCAGCCCAGCCACCCTCTGGCTCTGGAAGACCCAGTTTTGCATCTGTTCAGAGATGCAGGAGATGTCCATGATTCCCAGGAGCCACCTGAGGTGCCTGGCAGCCACTTGCCTTCCCAGGACCTCCCACCCAGCCCTTCCCAGGACCTCCCACCCAGCTCCTGCTGCTCCTGAAATTAAATCCTTTCTGCCCCTTGCAAAGCACATGTGAGTGGAGCAGCAGAGATAAGCCAAACGGGAGAAGTTGAGGGGATTATGCACTGATTAAGTTATTAGTAACGTGAAATGAGCCAGGCAGAGATGAAACAGGAGCTTTATTTTTCTGCTCCTTGGCTTGGGGCTCAGGGCTGCCTGTCACTAGACAGCAGATCAGCCCGGGAGCTCCTGGATCCCCCCCCAGTGCCTTTGGCACAGCAGTGGGTCCCTGCAAACCCCTGGGGACCAGAGTGTTCAGTGGGGCTGGGCTTCCATCCCATGGGGGGTTTGCTGAGATGCAGCACTTGGAGGCAGAGTTATTGTTCCTGGTGCTGGGGCAACCACCCCCTGGCAGATGGAGGTAGGGAAGAAATTCTTCTCTGCAACAGGAAAATCCAGTGGTGCTGAGAGGGGGTGTGAGGGCAAGGCCACCCATTTGCTCTGTTTCCCATGGTTTTCCTGAAGTGTCCTCTGCAGGGTGTTTCTGGGGCTTTGGGGAGTGAGAAAGAGAAGAGCAAATGAAAAGCTGTTTGGTTCGTGGTTGTGAATGAAGTTGGTTTCCCTTAAACACTCAGGACAGGCAGGGTAGGGTGGACAGGTCAGGAGTTGATGCCTGGGGATGGGTGGGCCAGGTGAGGAGGCTGGATCCAGAGCTGGGCACTGGTGGAGATTAACCCTTGCTTGGGCAGGACCATGGGGCTGTTGGTGGAGCCAGGGAGGGGGCAGGAGGCACAGGAGGACACTGAGATGGTCCATAAACCACCCAGCCCATCAGTGGGGCAGGGGAGCTCGGGACCAGGGGCAGCTTTGGGGCTGAGATGGTGGGGAGGGGGATTTTGTGGGTCCAACACAGCAGCACCCAGCCCCTGACCTTGCTCTCTGTGTGCCTGCAGTGCTGGGTGCCCTGGAGTCCCGCGGGGTCCTGCGGCGCATGAGCGACATGCTGGAGATGCTGATGAAGAGGATGGACATCCTGGCCAGGCTGGAGAACAGCACTGACTTCCACAAAGGGGATGAAGCTCGATTCCCTCTGGACAGGTCAGTCAGCCACACCAATGCCCCCGTGACACCCCTGGTCGGGGGGTTTGCAGGAGCAAAAAGCCTTTGGTGTGTTCTGTGGTGTGGGGATGGGGGAGCCCAGCAGCAGGTGAGGCTGGGGCTGATCTTCTGCAGCTTCCTTGGGGTTTTTTTTTCCCATTTCTGGAACCCTTTTGGGATTTCTGATGACTGTGATCTTGGGGGTTTGCTGTAGCACCTGTCCCAGCTGCTGGTGTTCAGTGTGGGAGGGTGTTTCTTCACCACCCTGTCACGGAGGTGGGACTGGTTGATGGTTGGAGCAGTAGTAGGTGTGTGGGATGTTCTCCCTCTGCTATTCAATCCCAGAGTGAGCTTCAGGCCACTTTCTTTGGGCTCAAATCCCTCGGGTAGCAGTGGATTATCGTGTGAGATCCATGGCTGAGAGGCTCAACCTTAGAGTTTGAACAAGGCTTCAAATGAAGAGAAGGAAACTGTTGGGTCTTGAAACACTTGCTGGGCAGAACCACCATCCTGGCTCCCTGCATCTGCCCCAGCTGGCAGCTTGAGAGATGCTGCTTGACTAAAGAGACATTTCCCTTTGCTTTCAGAGCCTTGAAACATTTATTAATACTAATTTGGTTTGTCACACCAAGGCCTGCAAAAACGGTACTAAAAGAGACTTGAGCAAGGAGGGGCAGAGGTGGAAGCACTGGGGGGCAGCTCTCAGGACCAGCTTTGCAATGCAAAAAGAACCCCAAACCAGCATGGATTTTGCTGAGTTAGAGTCACGGGTGACACATGAGCAGGGACATGACATGCAATGGGCTCCTGTGCCCTGTGCTGTGCCACTGGAGCTGCAGTGCATCCTGACATTCCCACCTCTGCCGTGGCCCTGCCCGGCAGCCGGCAGGGGTTGTGGTGCCTCCCTGTTCCCATCATCATTTCCATTTCTCTCCCTCCCCTTACGAGTCTATTTTGTGCCTGTAATGGAAAATAGAGTAAGTGAGCCTGTAATTAAAGGCTGTGCAGATCTGCACCGTGTGCACAGATGAATGAAAGCTGCTCAGACAGGCTCAGAGTGCATGGGCTTGCTTTTGAAACGACATAATTTCAACCACTGAAAAATACCATTTACCTCAGTCATGGCAGGTGCTGGGGATTGTGTTGTTCTGAGGCTGGCTGGTAGCCAAGCACACAAGGAGGACAACAATAATCCCAGAGAGGAAGGGACAGGGTTATTAGAGCCAGCAAAAGGAAGGCACTTATATGGGATGATTTTCTTGGCTCATCTCCTGTTAAAAGAATCAGTAGTTTCAGGTGATGGTAATTTCTGGACATCACCAGCCAAGAGAGAAACTTAAAAGCATTTTTGTGAATGGCTGTTGTCACTGTGCATGGGGATCTGGTGACTCCAGGGCCATTGCTTGGAGACCAGAAAGGATGGGAGCTTCTGGACCCTGCAGATCAAAACAGCTCAGGCATTGTGGATGTGCTGAGATGGGCCTGAGTGGCTGAGATTATCCATGAACAGAAAATCAGGGACAACTAGTTTATCACCATTTGCTCCTCATAAATTACTCATTAAGTGCATTCAAGTCCCTTCACCCATTTCTGCATCAAAACAAATCTCCTTGTCCTCTCCTGGGCTCTGCAGATCAGGTCTGGCCATGGGGCAGAGCATCTCTGGATGAAACAACCATTGTGGGGGGGTTTCTTGTGGCTTTTTGCTGTGACTGGCTGTGGTGAAGCACTGGCAACATTTGCAAATGCTTGTGCAGTGTTTCCCAAGCTCTCCCTCCTTCCCTGCAGTCCCCAGGCTCAGCTGGGGTCTGTGGTCAGAGGAGCTGTGTTGGTGCTACAGCTGTGCTGGGTCTCAGCTCTGGCTCTGCTGCCACGTGTGCTCTCTCATCCATGTGGCCTTTCTGTGGCTTGTCCTGGTCCCTGCCCTCCCTTGCAGGGTGCAGAAGGCAGCTGGAAGGGTGCAGAGCCAATATTCCCTGTTTTTCCCCTGCTCCAAGCAGGGCCTGGCTCTGGCTGACCCCCTGCTCCGGTGGCTGCTCCGTGGAGCATCCTGGGGGGAATCAAACAGCAGCTGGTATGAAACCTGGGATGAACCCCCACCCAGTGGGGGTACTGAGATCCCTGTCCCTTTGGGGGTGACCAGCTGCAGCCCCTGGGGACCCCCTGTGCTGAGGGGGAAAGGGCACCACTAATGGCACCAGGACCAAGTGGTGTCTCTGGAACCCAGATCAGCCCTGGGGCTGTGGAGATGCCCTGGTGCTGATTGGTATTAGGACCCCAAGATTCCACCAAGGGCCTGTTTCCACCTTCCCCCCCTTGGCTCTGTCTGTTTAATCACCAGTGACTGACTTGAAGCTGTCAGTGACAGCTAATGCAATTAAAGGGTGCTAATTTCAAAGGGATTTTCTTCTTCCCAGCACCTCTGGTTAGAGCAGCAGCTGCTGCCTTCATCTCCTTCCCTGCTCAGCAGAGCTGTGAGCACAAGCTTTGCAGTTCTGCCTGCACAAAAGGGGGGTCATTCTTGCTTTTACAAAGTGCTCTCCACTGACTTGAAGCTGTCAGTGACAGCTAATGCAATTAAAGGGTGCTAATTTCAAAGGGATTTTCTTCTTCCCAGCACCTCTGGTTAGAGCAGCAGCTGCTGCCTTCATCTCCTTCCCTGCTCAGCAGAGCTGTGAGCACAAGCTTTGCAGTTCTGCCTGCACAAAAGGGGGGTCATTCTTGCTTTTACAAAGTGCTCTCCTGCT